CGCGCAAGACGAAATCCTTCCAAAAGCTTAGTGTTCGCAGCGATTTTAACATAAAAACATCAAAAAACCAATGGTTTTTCAACAAAAAAATGTCAAAATCTCATCCCGCGCGCTCTTGCGGATTCGTAGGAAACCCAACACTTTTTAAACATTTCTGTCAAACGGGCTTTTGCGAGCAACTTTTTCGAACTTCTGCGACAACGGTTGCGCACCTGCCAGGGCCATCATCCCTGTCAAATAATACCATGCGGGACACATTCGTTTTTTCTTCGCGCGCGCACGCCGAAATCTCCAAAAACCATCGGGACAACCACAACCATCAGGACAACCATCGGGACAACCATCGAGACAACCATCGGGACAACCATATCCTCTCTCTCTTGTGTATTCCCACATCCCTCAGGAATTTGCCCTAAAGATGTGATCAACTATCTTGTGAGTACGTATCATGTGTATCATGTGTATCATGTACCATATGCATCATATGCAACAGATGTTCTGTGGAAGGCTTAACAACTTCTGTGGGTTAACAAGGCTTAACAACTTCTGTGGGTGTACGAACGTAGGCTTAACAACTTCTGTGGGTGTGTACTCCACGCCAGTGTAGTAGCCACGGTCGTCCGCAGGCCACGAAGTGAAGTGTCCGAACGTCATAGGGCGGGAAGCTGGGTGTGGGTGGTGGCGAAGAGTCGTGTGGATATTTGGTAGAGCTTGCACTGCCCCCCCACAAAGTGGGGGTATTGGCTGGCGTCGCATGAAAACCCTGGCACTGGTGAGAACACTGAGCGTTCGGGTAAAGTGATTGTTGTTGTTGCTGTTGTTGTTGTTGTAGCTGTTGCTGTTGCTGTTGCTGTTGCTGTTGCTGGTGCTGGTGTTGTTGTTGTTGCTGCTGATGTTGTTGTTGGTGTTTTGTTGTTGTTGAATCCGCACTACTGAAGAATACGTATTGTTATTGTTAATCCCTTTCGGTGACCATTGTATTTTTCAGTTGAAGTGCTTCCCCCAGGGCTCGCACCCTGCTTCTAAACAGGGAAAGTCACGGGACTCAAACTGTGCTGTTTGCCCCCAGTTCACAACAACAGCGGCTCCCGCCTGATACTTCTTCACAGTTTATATTCAAGTCGCGCTCTTGCGCTGGACTTCCTCACGATGTGTATACGAATCGGGCTATCGCGTGGGACCTCTTCGCAATTTATCCAGACGATGCGCCCTCGGCGCTCAGGAATGACGCTCTCGCTTGGGCTTCTCTCGCGATTTCTTATGGAATCGCACTATCGCTCGAGACTCCCTCGCGATTCATTCAGGACACGCGCTTCAGCAACTCGCCTGCTCGACCTGGTCGCCTGGGCCCGCTTTCCCGGCCTGCCCGCTAGGTGGTTGTCCACCCGCCTGTCTGGTTCTACCACTTGTTTTTTGTTCCTTGCCCCCTCCTGCTGATTTCTCTCGTGCTGCATTCTTCTCCCTCCCCCTTCCACCTGCCTTCTCGTCCCTTGTTTTAGGGGCTGCGCTACATGCGGGTGGCAGGTAAGGAAGATATACTCCCAATGGGGTACCATTGAAGACAACAAGGGCGGGCACCGAGGGTTTGGAGTATACGTGCTCTCTTTGATTTCTCGTTTTGGCGAACAATTCGTGTGGCCGGCCCGCCCGCCCGCTAGGGTTTGCCCCCCCCCCCCCCCCACACACCCCCTGGTCTGCCCGTCTGAATATGCCACGTGTTTTCTGTTCCTAGCCCTCTCTCCTGCAAATTTCGCTCGTGCTCCATCCTTCTCCCTCTCCCATTCCATCCGTCTTCTATTCCCCTGATTATTCCCCTGATTTAGGGGCTGCGCTAAATGCACATGGCAGGTGACGAACATGTCCCCACAAGGGGTACGATCCAAAACGAAGAGGGCGGGTACCGAGTGTTTGGGATGTACATGTTGAAAGGCACGTGGGCCGATCGGGTCGATCAGTCTTACAATGATTATTGTTGTTGGTTGTTGGTTGTCGTTAGTGTTGTTGTTGCTGCTGTTGTGGTTGTTGTTATTGCTGTTATTGGTGCTGTTGTTGGTATTGTTGTTGTTGAAGTCTCACTTCTGAAGAATAATTATTGTTGATCCCCCCCGTCCGGTGCACATTGTTTTTTTTTGTTTTTATTGAAGTGCCCTTCCCGGGGCTCGCACCCTGTTTTTTTATCAGGGAAAGTCTTCAGGGTCAAACTGTGTCGTTGGCTTCAGGTTTACAACAACAACAACAACCACAACAACAACCACAACAACAACCACAACAACAACAACAACAACAACAACAACAACAACGGCTCCCGCCTGTGACTTCCTCACAGTTTAGCCAGGACCCCCGCTCCCGCCCGAGACTTCCTCGCGTTTTATTCAGGAATCGCGTTCTCGCTTGGGAACTCCTTAGAATTTATTATCCCAGCGCTCTGGAGTCGCGCTCTCGCTGGAGACTTGCTTGCTATTTACTGAAGAATAGCGCCCTTGCGTTGGAATTTCTTGCAATTTACTCAAGCGCCGCGCTCCCGACACCCAGGCACCCAGGAGTCGCGCTCACGCTTAGGACTCCCCCACAGATTACATAGGAATCGGGATCTCGCTGCCCTTCGTGGCCCCGTTGCAGCCCTTCGTGGCCCCCTCGCTTTGTTTCGTGGCGCCGTTGCAGCCCCTCGTGGCCTCCTCGCTGCCCTTCGTGGCCCCGTTGCAGCCCCTCGTGGCCTCCTCGCTGCCCTTCGTGGCCCCGTTGCAGTCCTTCGTGGCTCCTTGGAAGTTTACGCGCGTGCCGTTTTATCGTCGTCCAGCGGGTGCCGCGGCCGCAGTTCTTGCTGGCCTGCGCCCGTTGAACCTGGCCGCGGGTCGGTTTCGGTGAGGGGTAATTTGCCACAGGGGGTTCTGCCCACCCCCGAAAGCAGAGGCCAAAGTCCGACCCGGATCGGTCCCTGGATCTTAGTGGGCTGTGGAAGCGGCAGAGCAGTGTTTTGATTGTTCTTCGTCTGTTGCTTTAATGCACTTTCCGTGAATCTGGCTCTTGCGTTCGAGAGCGCTTAAGCGACGGCTCACCGAAACGAGCAAAACCATCGGTGCCGGAATCGAACCAGAACCGGAGTCGGAGCAACAGCGCAGCGACAGGTCCAGGACGGAACCAGCGACGGAACCAGCGAACGCATGGACATCCGACAGAGACGCAGCCCCGTCGCTTCCAGGGCCGGCCGAGCCTCGGACGCCCCCGCAGGGTGCCTCCAGGTCGCCCAGTCTGTCGAGCCGCGCCCAGCTGTCCACAGGGAAGTCCCCGGCTGCCTCGCGAGCTCCCCGAAGTCGCCCTGGAGTCCTCCAGGCCCAGGCGTGCGAGGTCTTGGTCTTCCCGACGTTCGCGGCCCCCAGGAGTCCCGACCCTTTCCCCGGGGGCCGGTTCGTCATTCCGAGTCGCTCTTTAAAAGTCTTTGGCGGCCCCGAAGCCCGTCAAGGGCCCCCGGAGGTCGAACACGGCCAAACATGTCCCGTTGTATTATATATATATATATATATATATATATATATATATATATATATATGAAAGAGCGTGTTCTACCGCTGCTGGCGGAAAACCGGGGGGGGTCACTACCGGTTCGAACCCCTCCCCCCCCCCCGGAAAACCGGGGGGGGTCACTACCGGTTCGAACCCCTCCCCCACCCCAGTTCATCATGAAAAGGGGGGGGGTCACTACCGGTTCGAACCCCCCCCCCCCTCCCCTCGAAAACCGGGGGGGGGTCACTACCGGTTCGAACCCCCCCCCCCCCTCGAAAACCGAGTGGGGGTGCGGACAGTGGTGGGGACGGTGTTGGTGGGGACAGTGGTGAGGGGACAGCGGGACAGTGGTGGGGACAGTGGGACAGTGGGACAGTGGTGGGGACGGTAGTGGTGGGGACAGTGGTGGGGACAATGGTGGGAACAGGGGGGACAGTGGACAGTGGTGGGGACGGTGCTTTGTATATTTTGGGCGTCCTCGGTTTTATAAACTGGTTGTAAGTGCGCCGCAAACGTGTTAGAACTACGCCGCAACGTAGGTATAACAGGTTTAGCAGCTTTATAATCCTGTCTAAAAGACAAGGTTTTTATAAGTGTTTCTAAAAGTTATAACAATCATATAACTAGATTGTATAATCCAAGTTAAACCCAAGATGCTGAATTAGCCAGAATTAGTAAAATGAGTTATGCATCAGTTATGGGAAATTAGGAATGTTTATGGAAAATTAACATGAATTAACATAGTCGTTGTTGCTGACTTTGTTGGTTGGCGCAGCGTCGCGTGGCTCCCGTTTAAGACTTCCTTGCAATTCGCTCACCTCCCGCTCGATACTCCTTGCAATATCAGGCTCGTTGTGGAGAGTTGGGCCCGAGCGACAGCTCGTCGTGGAGAGTTGGGCCCCGCCTTCGGACCTCCCCGCAGCCATTTTGGCGCAGTTGGCCCTGCGACAGTTGCGACCGACTGTTTCCTCGTCTCGAGGATGTCCGCATCCGCGGGCAAGGGCCTTGCCGCCTCTGGCGGCGCTGCAGCTCCCGTGGGCGCCCCCGCGGCGCTGGCGCCTGCGGCCGCTGCTGCCCCTGCTGCCCCTGCAGCCGCCGTGCACAAGTTCACGTGCATCGAGTGCGGCTGCGCGAAGGACATCTCATCGAATCGGCACCGACTCACCCGACCCTTGCCCCCCTCCCTGGAGGGGCATGGGAGGAGGAAGGGGGGAGCAGGGGAGGAGGGGAGGCGCAGGGGGAGGATGAGAAGGAGGGGGGGAGGGGGTGGAGGTACAGGAGAAGGCAAACGTCAGGAGGAGAAGAAGGCAAGAGTCAGGAGGAGGAGGAGGAGGAGGAGGAGGAGGAAGAAATGAACAGAAAGAGGGCGATAATAAGGAGAAAGAGAAGGAGAATGAGGAGGAGGATAAGGAGGAAGGAGGGTGTGGAGAGCGAGGGGGAGGAACAGGAGGAGGCTAAGGATGATTAAGAGGAGGAGGAGTTGTTGTGTCTCTCGTCAGGACCGCGGCACGGTGTCGCACAAGACCAAGGGTGGCGAGCAGAAGTGGCGCTGCACCGACTGCAACGCGTTCAGAGGCAAGAGGGACAGATGGTTCCGCGATGAGCCCATCCTGAAAGCAGAGTGGCAGCGGATGCCCGTGGAGAAGCGCAACGAGTGGATCAACGAACATCGTGATCACCCCGAGGGCCTCCTGTCGGCGCTGCAGACTAAGGTCTGCGAGACTCAGCGGACACACGAGAGTGAGGAACGGGCTGGGAGTGGCACGTATTTTGACGAGGCCGACATCAGGGAGAAGTACAAGCGCAAGCCGGATGTTGCCCAGTCGATCATCGACAACGCGGACCGTTTCGTGTGCCAGGTGGCCAAGCGCACGATGTTTGAAGACATCGACTACACCAGGGTCCGCAGGCAGGGAGAATCGAAGGAGAAGGTTCGCTCGATGGAGCTGGCCACCGAGCAGTCGCTCAAGAAGCAGAAGATCGGCAGGGAGCTCAAGGACGACGGCGGCCCTGCCGATGGCGCCGACGTGGATGGCCGCGGAGGGAGGAGGCCGAAGGCGACCAAGTCGCAGAAGCCTTTGACGGAGCAGCAGAAGGGGACGCTGCAGAAGTCCAAGGACGTTGTCACCAAGCTGCTGGCCACCCTCTCCGAGTGCATCAAGAAAGCCGATGAGGAGAATGAGTTGGAGTACATCCCGAAATACGTCGCGACGGGGTGTGCGGCCGCAGTTACCGAGGCCAACGTTGTCGTCAGCGACATCGATGTTGTCTTGGCGGAGGGGCGGGAGCAGACGCCTGAGTTCAAGCTCGGCGTGCTGACCGCCAAGATCTCGGTGGCCAAGACCAAGCTGAAGGAGATGCACCGCAGGATGTTGGTGCAGAGGGAGGAGGCAGCTCAAGCAAAGGCCGCCGACACCGTGTCGATGCCCGTCGGAGGGGCGTAGATGTCTCTCGAGCTGCTTCCGTCCCCAGTCAGATGCCGTTTCAGTGTTAGTTTCTTTGCAGCTGCATGCCTGCACCGATGTCGCGAGGCAAGTCGTGGGTGATCCATCTCTTGCGCCAGGCTTTTCTTTTGTTGGTTTCGTGTAGGCGTGCTCTCGCCATGACGTTTTTAGTTAATGTGTGCGTGTGCTGCGGTGCCCTCTGCCGCCGAGCACTTTAGCCCGCTGCTTCGTCATCGGGGTTGGGATCATGATAAGACGGAGGTTGGATCCAAGGTCTTGGGATAGCAGCTCCAGCGATCATCTGATCGCGCCAGCGACGCGTTGCAACAGTCGTGTATGCGATATGCACTAGGTATCGCTCGCAGCTCGGGGCGCAGGGCAGTGCGATCTGTTACAGCTCCGTCGCGTCGTCGCCGAAGCGAGAGCACAAGAGTGAAACGAATATCAGGCATACCGCATGATGAGCTTGCAGGCTAGATGAGGAGAAGGAGGGGTAGGAGGAGGAGGGACGAGGAGGAGGAGCAGGAGGAGGAGGAGGAAGCGGAGGAGGAGGAGGAGGAGGAGGAGGAGGAGGAGAGAAGGAGAGGAGGAAGGAGGAGGAGGAGGAGGAGGAGGAGGAGAGGAGGAGAGGGGCCGCCTCTGCGCTTCCAGCGTCTCTAGCCGTCCCTGTCGTCGGGGCTCTCGGCGCTGCTCATCCATCTCCCCCCTCCTCCTCCTCCTCCTCCTCCTCCTCCTCCTCCTACTCCTCCTCCCCCTCCCTTTCCTACTCCTCCTCCTCCTACTCCTCCTCCTCCCCATCATGTGTCTATCCTCATCCTCCTCCTCCTCCTCCTCCTTCTCCTCCTCTTACTCCTTCTCCTTGTCCTCAGCCACCCTTTCCTCTACCTGCAGGGGGGAATGGACGATGAATAAGGGGGTCTCCAGGATGCATCCAGGGCCGCCAAGGGGGGGGGATGAGGTGACGGAAGAGGCGGAGGAGGAATAGGAGGAGGAAGAGGATGAGGAGGAGGAGCAGGAAGAGGAGGGGGAGGAGGAGAAGGAGGAAGGGGATGGGGAGGAGGAGGAGGATGAGGAGAGGAACCGCCTCTGCGCTCCCAGCATCGCGAGCCGTCCCTGTCGTTGGGCCAGGGCCTGGTTACACTCCGTAAGAGCAGACACCCTGACGTTGAATGTGGCGGCGCACTCAGTCATTGCCTCTGGAGCCCAGGGGGGTACTTCATACGCGTTGTTCGGTGGCTAGCCCCCCCTGGTGCGACGCCAGATGGGGCATTTGCTGAGGACGAGACAGGGGGGCGGCGCACTTGACCGAGCGGGGGCGCAGCATGGGGCCGCAGATCGCCATCGCTTCGCTTTAATCCCCCGCTTAGCCAACGGCGACTTCCCTTTGTCTCGCCCCCATGCCCTTATCCAAACCCCTCTGCCCCTCACCCCTACCCGTCGCCAGCTCCTCTGAACATGCGCTGGTTGAGAGGCCAAGGGGGGTGCGATGGCGCGGGCCAGTGATAAGACGAGGCCTCGGGAAAGCCGACTTCGACCGACCCCGTGGCCCCGAGGAGGCCGACCTAGACCGATCCCGAGACGCCGACAGCTACAACGACCGTGCCAGGTTCGCAACGTCGAGGGGCGATCTGCGGCCCTGTCTTCGAAAGGCAACCCTCCCCTCTCCCCTCCTCCCCTCCTCCTTCTCCCTTCCTCCTCCTCCCCTCCTCCTCCTCCTCCTCCTCCCCTTCTCCTCCTCCCCTTCTCCTCCTCCTCCTCCTCCTCCTCCTCCTCCTCCTCCTCCTCCTCCCCCTCCTGTTTCGCTCCGCTTCGTTCTTCTCCCTCTCCTCCTCCTTCTCCTCCTCCTCCTCCTCCGCCACCTTTTCCTCTACCTGCAGGGGGGGGCGGAGAGGCGGGCGATGGCGTTAACCCCCTGGTTGGAAAACTAAGCGCCGCCATGTGATTGCATTGCGTTGCCCCGTTGCTTTTGCACTGTTGTCGTTGCAATGTTGTCGCGGTCGTGACCATTGCGAAAGCTCTAGTGGCAGCTCGGGCCCAGCCAGGGCGCTCTAGTGTCAGCTCGGGCCCCAGCGCGGGCGCTATGGAGGTGGCTCCCCAGAAGCACAAGGAACTCGGAGAGGCGCGAGTGGGCACTCAAGAATTTCGGCGCGCGGAGAAGAGGAGGAGGAAGAGGGGGAGGAAGAGGGGGAGGAGGAGGAGGAGGAGGAGGAGGGGGAGAGGGACGAGGAAGAGGAGGAGGAGGAGGAGGTCACAGATTTGGTACACCTGTACCAAATCTGCGACCTCTTCCTCGTCGTCGCCGTCGTCGTCGTTCGGAGGAGGAGGAGCAAGAAGAGAGAGTGAGCTAGGAGGACCGCTTCGACGCACCCCAGATTCTTGAGCGCACGTTCCACATGCCAGCCTACGGAGCCCCCTCCCCCCCCAAGTAGGGCCATCCTCCCTCCTAGTCCCCCCCCTCCTCCCCCGCCTGCTCCGCCTTCTCTTCCGCCTCCTCATTCTCCTCCTCTTCCTCTCCTCTCCTCCCCCTCCTCCTCCTTCTCCCCTTCTCCCCCTCCTCCTCTCCTCCTTCCTCCTCCCTCATCATCATCCTTCTTCTCCTCCTCCTCCTCCTCTTCCTCCTCCTCCTCCTCCTCCTCCTCCTCCTCCTCCTCTGTCTCCTCACCCCCCCTGTCTCCCCCTCCTCCTCCTCCTCCTCCTCCTCCTTCACCACCTCACTGCACAGAGGTGGGGCAAACATTGAGTGCACGCATCGCTCCATCTCCTCCCCCCTCCTCATCCTCATTCTCCTACTCCTCATCGAGGAGGGCGAAAGGGAAGAGGGAGGAGGAGGGGGGGAGGGGGAGGAGAAGGAGGAGGAGGACGAGGAGGAGGAGGAGGAGGAGGAGGACGAGGCGGATGAGGATGAGGACGAGGAGGAGGAGGAGGAGGAGGAGGGAGAGGAGTTGAGGTGGTGGGGCAGGAGGGCGGAGGAGGCGAGGGGGTGGGGCGTTGGTCAGGGGGCTGGGGGTCGGGGGGGACCCCGTGGACGGAGACGCAAATTGGAGAGGCAGTTGTGACACTATTGCTGCTGCGGGTAATTTTGCTCATGCCACCTATCCTCTTATCTCACTCTTCTCTCTCTCTATCCTGTATGTGTCCCTCTCTCTCTCTCTCTCTCTCTCTCTCTCTCTCTCTCTCTCTCTCTCTCTCTCTCTCTCTCTCTCTCTCTCTCTCTCTCTCTCTCTCTCTCTCTCTCTCTCTCTCTCTCTCTCTCTCTCTCTCTCTTCTCTCTCCTTCTCCCCCTCCCCCTCCTCCCCCTCCTACTCCTCCTCCTCCTCCTCCTCCTCCTCCTCCTCCTCCTCGATCCTGCTCATCCTCCTCCTCCTCCCTCCCTCCTCCCCCTCCTCACTCACTCTATGCCGAGGCGGTCCTGGCGGCTGCATGTCCCCCCGCGATGTTGTCAGACATTTGTGGGAATGACGAGGTGTCAGAGAAGAAGAATATGGAACATTAGGAAAAGGAATACGCATAGGGAGAGCAAAGAGAGGGAGGACGGGGGCAAGGAGGATGGACATAGATAAGGAGAAGGAGGAGCAGCGCTCCAGAATAGTATTGATTACGTTTTAAAACAAACAGGGCGTTCAATGAACAAAATGATCGTTTGAATCAGAGGTTGAACGAGATCCACGATAATAAAGACAAGAAGATGATCAAAAACAGGAAACAGTAAAAGAGACACAGGCCAAGCGTGAGGCAGCAGCGTCAGCAGGGGGATCGGCTGACATCCCCTCCAAGAGTTCCCAGTCGTGTGAGGATTCGGACTGAGCTGGTCGGTGCGATACACCCCCACGACCACGACGACGACCACGACCACGACCACGACAGCGATGACCGCTACCGCGACCGCGACGACGACGGCGGCCTCGAGCAGGCCGGCCTAAACCGATCCAGCGGCTGCGAGCCAGCCGTCCGAAACCGATCCCACGGCCTCGTGCAGACCGCGCGCAGGCGCGTGCAACTGCACGCACCTGCACGCCAGGCGCAGGGGAGGCGTGCAACTGCACGCCTGCACGCGAGAGGTCCTCCCACTTGCACGCCTCAGGCGCTCGCTGGGAAGGCCCCGATGGCGTGCAGGCGCGTGCAGCTGCACGCTCCCCTCTGGGCTCTCCCCCAGACACCCTGCGCTCACGCTCGTCCCCCCCCCTCCTCCTCCCCCTCCACCTGCAGCCATTTTTGGCTCCAGCTTTCTTCCAATGGCGGCGCAACCCAGTGCCATCATGCGCGCCGTGGCGTCTCGCCTAGAGCACCTGTCCTGCATGGCCAGCGGTGGCCATCGTGACATGCAGGGCGTGGGCGAACGAACCACAGAGGGCCTCGTGCAGCAGATCAGGATGACGACGCTCAGCGTGCAGGACGCCACGGACGTGGTTCAGACGGTCAACGGTTGCCCGTGGCTCACCGATGCCATGAAAGACAGGGCGAGGCAGATCACAGACCAGAGGGCCAACCTACTCGGCGAGGTCGGTCGACAAGCAGCCGTGGCCAAGGACAAACAGAACGCGATGTGCCTCCAGCATTACCTTAGGGCTTCGGACTGGGACCTCTTCGCAGGGAACAGCACTGTAGAGACCAAGCTGTACCACATGGCTGGCTTGATGGTTCGCCTCGGCATCTTGAAGGCGAACGCTCACAGCTACGCGCGCGCTGTATCCCTCGCCCTCCACGTGCACGCGCCATTGGATACCACGGCGGCCTACAACAACGGCAACGTGCTGAAGGAGTTCGTGCGCAAGGCAGCTGTGACCTCCGCCAGAGGCCCAGAGGAGTACCCGCCGTCCATCCAGGATTTCCAGAAAGAAAACCCTGCGCTCTACAACTCGCTCTACGCCCAGGAGCCCCCCGTCCCTTCGAGGATCGACGCTGTGCAGATGGCCTTGTTGAGCGGCGGGCCTTGTCGGAGCACCCGCGCAGGCGTCGTCACGGTCTCCAGGGCGAAGACTCCCATGAGGCAGCTCTTCCCC